AAGCCTCTGCCACGGGCAGAGAAGCTCGGGTATCCACAGCGTGCGCGTGGGACGAAGGCGGGGTGCACAGTTTATTAGAGCTCTGGTTAAGCAAGAGTCCCCCAGAAAAGGCGAGGAAAAGAAAAGAGGCCACAGTTTCACCTGGAGAAGTCTGGGGTCTTTCCCATGCCGGTGGCAGCGGGATTGGTCCCAATGCACAGCAGGTTTGCTTGGGAGTCGCTAACCTCATGCAAAGGGCTGCAAGGACCGGCATCGGTCCCTGTAGGCATCTATGGATTTGTACAACATACACACGTCACTTGGCGAGGAGGACCAAAACTGGCCACGGCGGAGCGGGAGGGTAGGCAGGCACCTGCAGCAGCGGGATGGGCTGGCAAGGCCACTGAAGATGGACACAAAGCATGGCGTGCAACGTAGAACCAGATGGGTCCTCAGCCCCGTTGCAGCCCCAGGCCCTGGGCAGCCAGAGCCAAGCCCGAAACCACCTTTTTCCCCAATTTCTCACATGCTGTTTTCTCCCCACTGCCACGCAGCCACCCCTGTAGCACACGCTCTGCTGAGTCTCTTTCTTCCCTGGCTTTGCACGAGCTCTGGATGCAACCAACAGCACCTCTGGGTCTCTCCTGGCTGGAGACTGCCAAGCGCCGGGGTCCCGGTGAGCCCGGGGAAGCGCCTGGGCTCCAGGCACCCTGGGTAGGACGTGGCCCTGGAGCGTGGCAGGAGAGCTTGCCCAGGAGAAACAGCACAAAAGGGGGGTCGCAGCCCCTTTGCCAGCCCCCGGAAAAGGCTGCAGGGAGCCCCGGAGCTCCCCTCCTCCTCCTCCCCATCCTGCGGAGCACACAACCAGCCGGCCGCGGGGCTGATGCTGCGGCCATCCCTGGGCGCTGTGGTCCATCTTCACCTCGATGCCCAGCTCGGCCCCATCCTGGCGATGAGCTGAGCATGTCTCAACCACATCAGGTGGTTTTCAGCTTGAGCACCTTGGAAAGCGGCTCCTTGGCACTAGAGTAGAGGAGATAGGAGCCCTCGGCGGTGTGAAATGCCTCCCAGTCTCTACAGCCGACAGTGGGGAGGTGGTGAGCCGCTACGAAGCCTTCATAGCCTTGCCACCTGCACGGGGAGGGCAGTTAGCTCTTGGGGTACAAGCTGGGCACCTGAAAGGGGGCAGGAAAGCCGAGCCATGGGGATGGCATCTCCCACCTCCCCGCTGTGGTTCAGGGAGGGATGTCCCTCACTGGGGCTACTCATTCCTGCCCAGAAACCTCTCCAGAAGCAGGGACCAGCCCTGTCTGTCCTCCCTGGGCAGATGCACCACCATCTGCAGAGGTTGCCCCTGCGTTGCGCTCCTGGCAAGGTTGCTCCTGCTGGGAACAACCACCCAACCACCCAACCCTGCCCTCCTCCCGCAGCAGTACCTGTAGATAATACTGTTAACAGAGAAGGTGAAGCCATCGAAGGAGTTTGCTACCACCAGAAAAGAGTCATCTCCGACCGAGAAGAACTCCCAGTCCAGGGCACTGGGGGATGAAGCAAGCAGAGGGGCATGTGAAGTGGCCCCTCCGTGGCCAGCCAAGGAAGTGGCTGCATGTCTGTGGGGCTGAGCCCACCCCACACTAATCTCTGCCACCCTGATGATACACAGAAAACCCTGCTCTTCCCAGGCTGTTCCTGAAAGGAAATCTACCCTTGTTCCCAAATCCAGGGCCTTCTCCTAGCTCCCACTGGGATTCAGTGCCAAGGACCTGTCACTCCTGCCCTCCCCACCAGTGCTGGACCCTGGCAGCATGCAAACCTGCATGGACTCTCCAGGAGACCTCCAGGTTGCTCGGGGGAAGGAGGTGGACTGAGGAGCACCCTGACTCTTTGCACAGGTACCTGTAAGTGAGAAGGTCCTGGAATTTGACAAACATCTGGGCAGTGATGTTTAGCTCATAGATGGAGGAGTTGATGGCGTAGAAGTTAGAGGGTGCCGGCATCCCGCTGTCATAGCTGTGGCTGTTCGCAACAGCCAGGAAGACTCTGTTGCCGATACGAAAGACCTCCCAGTCAGCAGCACCGAAAGTCTGGGGGGAAAGAAACCACCTGAGAAGCTGGATGTGGACAAGCCTTTGCAAGCCAAGGATGCTGTGAGGTGTGGGGGGACCTGCTGGAGGTGCAGCGGGGAAGTTACCCACTCCTTAAACCCTCCAAGGGAAAAAATAAATCTCGCTCGGTCAATCCCTAGGAGAGAATCAGTGGGAAACTATCACTACCTCTCCAGAGGACTGAAGAGCATCTGCCTCTGTAATTATTCCCTGGCTTGTCTAAACCCAGAGCAGGGACCAAGGAGTAGAGTTTGATCAGTGGCCAAGCCTTACCAGAATAGACTGGAAGAGCTGGAAAGAGCCATTGAGCCAGATGTAGATGTGCGAATAGATCTTAGTGGATGTGCCATTGAACGTGTTAGCCACAGCCAGGAAGGAGTACGGCCCGATGGTGAAAAATTCCCAGTCGTAGGCTCCAGAGGTAGGGATGGTCTGATTGGTTTCAAACAATCCTGTTCTGGGGTTCCACCTATATATCACACTGTCTATGTTGTGGTTATTCCCTGGGGGAGACAGACAGACAAGACAAATGTGCACCGTGAGGAAAAGGAATACCTGGCTGGTAACAAGACCCAGAAGCATGTTCAGCTATGCAAGTATTTGCTGGCAGGTGGCAAGGCTGTTTGCTAGTGACCGATTGCTCCCCAAGAAGTAGCCAAAGAGACTCTGGAGCTTCCATCCCCACCTAGAGCCTCCATCCCCACCGAACACGCTGGCAGACTGTTCCCGAGCATGCGGTGACGGCTTCATGGCAGCCCTTGGCAGAGGAGGGTCGGGAGGAGGCACCGTGCCAGCGTCCTGGGGCCGCTAAGCTCTGCTTAGCCAAGTCCCAGCTTGACTGGGACTGGACCAGTCCCAGCTGAGTCCCTAAGCTACCGACATGACGGGCTGCTGTCACCCTTCGCACACAAGCTCGCACATCTGGGATGGGGCCACAGCTGGAACGGCTCCACACCGACGCTTTTCAGCGCTCCTTTGCTGAGTCGCCATGCAGCTCCTGGAGCTGGCCAGGGACCTCCACGTGCCGAACGCTGCCGATGGCACGAGCTCCGGCGCAAGGGGAAGCGGCAGCCCGCAGCCTGCCCCATGCTGGGCACTCAGGCTGAGCCTACCAGCACCGAAGCACGTGCTCCATCCAGCTCCTGGGCTCTTCAAGCATCTCGACCTCATGTCTGTGTGGGACCCAGATGGCTTTACAGCTAAAAACCTTTCTGCACCTTCAGCCTCTGTCCCCTCCAGCCAGAGACAATCTCCATCAGGACAGGGTGGAGCACCACCAGCCCCGTTCCACCCCACGCTCACTAAGTACTGCTTGTGCTCGGCTCGGCCCCGCTGGCGTTTCTGGCGGCTGAGCAGCAGCAGGACCCCGTGTTAACAGGTTTACGGGCAATCCTCATTGCAACGGAAGAGACTTTGGCAAGAGGGGCTGCAGGGAGAGGAGGGCATGTGGGAAATGGCCACAGGGATAAGTGGCAGCCCCTCAGGGACTGACCCTTCACCACCCGTTCAGAGGAACATCCCCAGTTCGCCTTGGACACAATGGTCTTGCAAGACGTGCACGGCCCCAAAAGGGAACTTTCTGCTGCCACTGCCATGGGAGTAGGTCTTGTCCAAACTGGCCGTGGTGGGGTCCAACAGGCAACGTGGGGAGTTTCTAGCCCAGTTCACAGGCAGCTGGTGCCAAGCAACCTGCTGCCAGCTTTGAGGAGCTGATGCCCCAGCAGCCAGCGCCGACGGCAGGGAAGGAGCCCACCAGCCCAGCATCCGGACCCAGCTGGGAGCATCCTGGAGAGCCAGGGCTGTAGTATCGACCCATTCAGCCCTCGTGTTGAGGGGTGCAGCCCCAACCCAGAACAACTCGTAGCCAGAAGCGAGGCTGGATCACGGCTGCAGGGTGCCCAGGGAGGGAGGGACGCCAGCGGCTCTCACCCGGCTTCCCTCGGTTCCCTGTGCGCCCACAAGGCCAACGCTTCGGCTTCTCAAAAGGCTCGGTCCCTGCAAACCCAGGCAGCTGCGCTCACCGCCCCACCACGTTATGCAGCACGGGGGAAACAAACGAAAAGCAGCGGAGAGGTTCAGCAAGGACACCGTCCCACTCCTGTCCCTGTCCCCCGCCGTCACGAACCCAGAGGGGGGCTGCGCCAGCCACTTCCTCGAGCGCTTTTCTCTCCTAAAATGAGAGGGGCTGCGAGGATTCAGGCCTCCTGAGGGACACTGTGCTGCGTGCTCTGACTCCCCGGCTGTGCCCTGCACGCCGGCAGGGGATGCGCAGGGGAGCTGCAGTGTTGCCATGGCAACGGGAGGATGCTCTCAAGCAGGGCGCCTGCA